CGCACAACTACCTACAATAACGCTAGGCGATTCCTCCCCAGGTATTCAGAACATCTGTAGATTCACGAGAACTACTTCTGGGGAAAAAATAAGGCTTAAAATCTGCTGAAAGGAGGACAAAAAGGCGGCTAATGAAAAAAGACACAGCTACTCCAAACATGTCGGTTAATGCAAAAAAAAAATATTTTTCACTGAGTAAGATTTTTCTTGTTCTAAAAAAGCCCATGATTTACCTGCTACTGGATGTCCGCGTTTCAGAAGATCCCCGTCTTCGTCTCAAAATTAGTAATGTTCATCCCTTTTTTCACTGTCTTTCCCATCTTCTAGGTGCTAGCATTCTTAATCTCAGTGCCAATCCAGGTTTTCAAAGTGGAAAATAACTTACTTTTTACGCTCCTGCATTTCCCAATTCAGTCGTGCCAAGTGCTGTTGATGTGGATCCTTTCGAGTTACTTCTTCCTGCGAGATATTCGCTGGAGCATTCGCATAAAATTCCTCAAGTGGAACCAGTGCAATATGTTCATCTGCTGATCTGAAATATTGCCGATTTTACTTTACTCTGATTTAGAAAAACATGATTTGAGCAAATTTTCATTTTCTATCAGTTATTATCACAATCCCAGAAGAAATGTTCACCTGAAATCATAGCACCGTTCAATTTCTTTTTGTAAATGTTCAATTTCACTTTTGATATTTTGCAGCTGCAAGTACCGCTCCTCAACAACGGCTCTTTCCTGATTCACTTGATCGCGAATTTTCCGGTTGCGATATTGCGCTAAACGATTCAGTCGTCGCAGTGAAATGAACCGAGAACGCAAAGCTTCACCGAAACTCACCATGTCCTCAGACTGCAAAGTCAAACATAAATATCTTGCACATCTAACTTTTCAAAAACAAAAATCATACATTAGAGGAAAGTTAATTCAAGTATCAATGAAAATACATCAAAAAGTATAAATGTATATTTTTCCTGCATAAATGTAAATGTACAAAAAATGTAAAAAATAAAAAAATGTACAAATTGTAAATGTACAAAATGTATAAATGTATTTTTTTGTACAAAAGAAATGCATATAAAAATGTATATTTTTCTTTCATATAATTCTTAATGAGATTATTGCAAAAAAAATAAATGGTCAGTGCACCGACTGCCGACGGGAATATGCCTTTTTTGCATAGTTACCAGCAAATTTCTGTCGCTAACAGCACCGGTTTTTCCGGCAGATGATTCTAGCTAAAAGAACTGAGACTGAATGCCAGGGCTGTCAGAAAGCAGCCTTTCAAAATTTCAGCTTTCCAGCTTTCTTGGCTCTCGAGTTAGTAACTTACCCACAAGAAACTTTCACGGGTTCGTACATAGGAACCACCCATACCGGGTGCCTGGTTTGAACTCATTAGAACCTACCTGTACAGGAAACATCCCCTTCAAAGTCCAGTCTTTTAACTTTTCGGATTCCCGAGTTAGCGACTTACCCGAAAAAAACTTCTACGGGCCTGTACGTGGGTGCCATGCGGGTAAGAGTACCCATTTTGGGGAGGAGAGCCTCTACATGCCTGTAGGATAAGTTCTCAAAGTTGCAGCCCTGTAGCTTTTGTAAGTCTAGAAATGAAAAATCGTTACAGACGAACATACATACAAACAACCTCTCGTCAATATGCATTTTCTGCATTGCATAGATGTAAAAAACGCAAAAAAAAGGAATACCGCTATTTTTAATGACCCTATTGAGTAGGTTTCAGCATTTCTTAATAATTATGTTACTTCTTTGCCAGCGAAATTGTGCGGCACTAGTGTTTCCGCTCAAGTGGAGCATTTCATTTCGCAAGTGTGAAAATCAGTTTCGATTAAACTGT